GACAAGGTAAGGTAGAGCCATATTCATCTGTTGCTCGTGACTAACAGATTTATGACAAAGAAGTCAGCAACATAATGATAAAAACTGAAAAAATGCTTTTAGATCTTGCTTATTTATTTATTTATTTATTTCCCAAGGTAGCCTTTTTGAATCAATGGTAAACTGATTTGATTTAGCGTCAAAAGTTAGTTGTCCAGGTTTGAAGCATCATGGTTATATATAGCTTGTGAATGTGAACCTTTAGATTATAGAAATGCTCCAAGGGATTTCTCAAAACATTAGTCCCTGGCACCTAATATTAAGTGATTTGTGAGCACAAGCCTTCTTGTGGCTACTGCTTTTCTGAAGTCATCCACCAGAATATGGTGAATATGGTAAAAAAACACTTTGGAGCATTTAAAAGAAGAGGCTGTAACAATAAAGTCAATCACATCAGAAGACAACCATATGTAAAATATTCTGCATTAGTTTTAATTATGAATTAATTTAGATTTTTTATATTGACCAGTTATTTGAAATATAAAGTTAAACCACAATTTTTCATGATGCTATTTTTGTGATCAGACAAAATTGAACTGCAAATGTATGACAAATTTAATAAAGATTTTGTATTACCTCGCCTTAACTTAAAGTCTGGTTTTAGATTTAAACAGTTAATGTTGTTTTGCCTCTGTCTCACCTATTGGTGTCATGAGTTTGGCAGCTGCCACTTTGTCTAGGGGGTTAGCCATATATTCAGACTTACCAAAACAAGTAATAAAAAAAGGTGAGACAAACCCATATCTGAGATGGACATTTACACATATAAAGAGATTTGGTTGGTCTGGTAAACTGATGTTAATGCTCTCGCACATCATGAGTTAAAAACTTACAGCTCTTTGACTCTTAGAAACATTTGCTCAATAACATGATTTTGTACTGAGAATGACTTTTAGAAATGTAATTTATGGCATTACAATAGACTAATACTGAATAAATTATATTGGTCCATTGTAAATAAAGACCTGATTTTTTTATATTCATCGGATATTTGTAATGCAAAACAATCTGTAAAAAAGCTAGCAGTGTAAATAGCCAGATAGCTGACTTGTCAGCTAATGTTAGCTGCTTCAGAATGTAGCAGGAACAACAGGCTGTTGCTTCTTGCTATCCTCTCCTCTCCTAAACACATAATTGTAGTGTTTTTGCTGCTGGGTGAACAATCTGTAGAACAGTAAGCAGTGTACATAGCCAGGTAGCTGACTTGTCAGCTAATGTAAGCTGCTTCAGAATGCAGCAGGAACAACAGGCTGCTGGTCCTGGCTATCCTTTCCTCTCCTCAACACACAACTGTAGTGTTTTTGATGTTGAGTGAACAATCTGTAAAACTGTTAGCAGTGTACATAGCCAGGTAGCTGACTTGTCAGCTAATGTTAGCTACTTCACAATGAAGCAGGAACAACAGTCTGCTGCTCCTGGCTATCCTCTCCTCTCCTCAACACACAACTGTAGTACTTTTGCTGTTGGGTGAACAATCTGTAAAACTGTTAGCAGTGTACATAGCCAGGTAGCTGACTTGTCAGCTAATGTTAGCTGCTACAGAAGGTAGCAGAAACAACAGTCTGCTGCTCCTGGCTATCCTCTCCTCTCCTCAACACACATTGTAGTGTTTTTGCTGCTGGGTGAACAATCTGTAAAAAAGTTAGCAGTGTCCATAAGCAGGTAGCCAAAGTGTCGGCTAATGTTAGCTGCCACAGAAGATAGCAGGAACAAAAGGCTGCTGCTCCTGGCTATCATTTCCTCTCCTCAGTACACAACAACTGTAGTGATTTGCTGCTGGGTGAACAATCTGTAAAACAGTTAGCAGTGTACATTGCCAGGTAGCTGACTTGTCAGCTAATGTAAGCTGCTACAGAAGGTAGTAGAAACAACAGTCTGCGGCTCCTGGCTATCCTCTCCTCTCCTCAACACACAACTGTAGTACTTTTGCTGTTGGGTGAACAATCTGTAAAACTGTTAGCAGTGTACATAGCCAGGTAGCTGACTTGTCAGCTAATGTTAGCTGCTACAGAAGGTAGCAGGAACATAAGGCTGCTGCTTCTGGCTATCCTCCCCTCTCCTCAACACACATTGTAGGGTTTTTGCTGCTGGGTGAACAATCTGTAAAAAAGTTAGCAGTGTTAATAAGCAGGTAGCCAAAGTGTCAGCTAATGTTAGCTGCTACAGAAGGTAGCAGGAACAAAAGGCTGCTGCTCCTGGCTATCATTTCCTCTCCTCAGTACACAACAACTGTAGTGATTTGCTGCTGGGTGAACAATCTTTTAAACAGTTAGCAGCGTACATAGCCAGGTAGCTGACTTGTCAGCTAATGTAAGCTGCTACAGAAGGTAGTAGAAACAACAGTCTGCTGCTCCTGGCTATCCTCTCCTCAACACACATTGTAGTGTTTTTGCTGCTGGGTGAACCATCTGTAAAAAAGTTAGCAGTGTACATAGCCAGGTAGCCAAAGTGTCGGCTAATGTTAGCTGCCACAGAAGATAGCAGGAACAACAGACTGCTGCTCCTGGCTATCCTCTCCTCTCCTCAGTACACAACTGTAGTGTTTTTGCTGCCGTCATGATTGGATGTAACCTGCAGATGTTCCTGGGCTGCTTGTTACTTCTCCCTCTTTGGACACCTAGCCTCTGGTCCACTGCCAATACTAGCTATAAACTAGCTTCCCCTGACTGTATTACTCCTTAGCACTGCATCTGTTCATTAACCACCTCTGCCAAGGCTGTGTTGACAGTCTGAGAAAGGCTGATACAGTCCACAGATAATGTTGTGCAGAGGCTCTGCACATATTTTTCATACATACACCACTTCTCATCCACAAATTTTAACCCTTCACTATGGTCTTGCCACACTGTTGTTATGATGCAATGAGGCAAAGAACAGCATGTAGACCTGTCAAATCTCTGCTCTCTTCTCCAGTCCTCTGAGCAAATTCCAAAGCAACTGGTGTAAGTTAACACTCATTTTTCAATGGAATCTTTCCCTCCCTGAATAAATTCATCACCGATAACAAACTTTATCTCCTCTCAAACTCCTGCAACACAAACCTTCATACCATTTTCTTTATCCACATCAGCTTTCATGTTCAAAAAGAGAAATCAGCATTCAGGAACCTCAAGTTCATCCCTGTCTCAGCTCTTTCAGCCTCTCTCTCATCTGCATTATCCCCTAATAATGCTGTCATATCATCCAGAATTGCGTACTAAAGCATCTTGAACAGTTCATTACCCAAAGTCCTCAATAAACCCTGGTATATCCAGAACTCTGCTGCTCACCTTCTCACACACTCTTACTTCTGTTAGCAAATCTCCCTGTTACTCCAGAACCTCCACTAGTCTCCAATCCAAAGACTTTCTCACTGTACAGTCCCTCTCTTCACTCACAAAGCTCTCCATGATCAGGACCCTATCTTACTGATAAGGTCCTAATCCTGTCTTACTGACCTGCTCAACTCTCACACTCCTTTCTGACCTGTCTGCAGGACCAGTGGTGAAAGAGAGTGTGAGAGCCTCAACCTCCAACAGAAAACTGATCTGCCAAAATCCAATTCTCCTCTAAAACACATCTCTGGAATCACTGATGATGCCATTTTATCCAAGCTTTGTTTTTTTTTCTTCGTTTATAACATGAGTTTTTGTGACACTTATCTTTCGGTATTTTTTTAAAGTAACACAAGTAAAATGTACTGCAATAATAATACTAATAAAATGATAATAGAAGTAGTAGTGGTAACAGTAGAAGAATTGGGATTCTTGCAGTAAGAATGTTATTATTATTATTATTATTATTACCGTGATTATTGTTGTTTGAGATAGTACAGGCAGGCTGGGCAAGACAAAGTGATTAATTGTCAGAAACATGATATCATCCTTTTAAATAAATAAGTTCCTATTTACTGAAATTGAAACTGATAAACACACACTTCTACAATAACAAAAGAAGCGGGCTGCCTTAATAACAAATGTCTGGCGGGCGGACACACAAATTCTGTGATTAAAGCAGCACCACCCGCACAGGATGTAACAGTTTTGCAAAGTAAGCGCTCCTTAGCTGATAGTTTGGAGAAGAGATAAGCACTTGACTACAAAAAGTGTATTTAAATTAGTAAATAAATACATTTATTGAAACTGGTAACTGATAAACACACACACTATTACTCTAACAAAGAGGAGTGGGCTGCTTTAAATTTTTATATTGACATGCCTGGCGGGCGGATATAGGAATCTATGGTTAAAGCAGCACCACCCGTTCAGGACGTGCTGACTATACAGAGTAAGCGCTCCTCAGCTGACGGTACGGAGATGAGTGAGAAGCACTTGACTGCAGGGGAGACTTGAGCTGCAGCAGGAGAGGATTTAACTGAAAGGTAAGTGGGATTCTGATAAAATAATTAGGTAAGTGATTACTTTATAGTCAAAAAGTTACCCGGTGTTTTCACACATGGTATTATGTGGCATGCACACAGGAAGCTAGCTGCTAGCAAACTTCGTTAGGCAGAACTAGCGGTCTCACGGTCGCATTGTGTTCTCTTGTAACTTTTTGTCAAAGTTTTTAACTATAAAAAACACCGAAAATGTGACTTGATTTTGTTTAATTTTTATCTGAATCTTATTCTTTTACAACACGGTCATATTTGGGGAAATGTGCGTTATGTTGGGTGGGTGGGGTAGGGTGGGGGGAGTGAGAGCAAAGCCGCCATCTTAGGCACGTGCGCTTTTAATTGAAGTAAATGACAGACCGTTCACAGTGAAGCAGCAGGAGCAAGTTCATCATTTTGTGTCAGACAACATGGTCACTACTCACTGGTTTGTCACATGGTTGTTAAAGTTTACAATGAATGTAATTTTAGTAACATTAAACATTATTGAGTAGTTATATGACACTGCAGACATGCACTGGGCCTGGCTTGTTTGTCCATAGAGATAAAAAAAAATCAAAACTTGAAACCATAAATTTTCCTTTATAGGATGTATACGCTGAGAAGCAGAAAAGTCCAAAAACAGGATGACTGGCCTAGGAGGAAAAAGGTTTGTCAAAGTCTTTGTTACTGACAAAAATTGAAGTACATTTTCAGAGCTTACTCAAGTTGTTCTGATGTAATGGGCTCCAGTTAGGTTGTGATTTTAGCAATCTAACAAACACACTTGTCATTCATCCTAATCTTAGAAGGGCAGACAATCAGCTGTGGCTGAAACATCTGAGGCTGAGATCTCCAGGACCACAGAGGAGCCTCCTGAGGGATCTACACTCACAGAGATAGAGGTATTTATTCTAGCTGATCATCTTGTCTGGTCTTGAGGTGTTAAAGCTGCAGTTGTAAATACTCTGCTGATTGGTCAGGTCCTTATAATGTATCTGATTTTTTTATTTTGATGGTCAGTTAAGCTGTGTGTCTGCTTTAAGGCTCCCTTGGGTTGATTTTGAGTTGTGGGGTCCAGTCAGGTTGGTATTTAAGATGTCTGACAAACACACTTGTCAGGTTTACAGTGTTTGTGGGGTCCCCGTAAAGTCAGATACACTGTTGACATTAATGAGAGATTAAATATCAAATGAAAAAAATACATCCTTTGCAGTTGATGTGTTCCTCACTGTGTAATGATCTAAGACCCTACCGGTCACTCCAGCTGTTTGACTAGGAGACTGAAGTCTCTGCCAGTCCTTTCTGGGCTCCATGATCCACATTTTGGTTAAAAGAAGACACCAAGCGACAGTAATAGTAGTTGGTACAGATGATTTTGTTTAGATTATGGGATTTAGCATGAGAGCTACAGCGAGTGGATTCATCAGGTTTAAGAATCATAATGTATTTAAAGTTGCCTGTATCTTTAATTGTGAAGAAATCAGAACAATAGTTTGTTTATTTACTATTCATCTCAAACTTGTTGTTTAGGACATGGAACCACCTACTGTGGCTGAAACATCTGAGGCTGAGATCTCCAGTACCGCAGAGGAGCCTCCTGAGGGATCTACACTCACAGAGATAGAGGTATTTATTCCAGCTGATCATTCTGTCTGCTCTTTAGTGTTAAATCTGCAGTTGTAAAAACTCTGCTGATTGGTCAGGTCCTTTAAATGTATCTGATTTTTTTATTTTGATGGTCAGTTAAGCTGTGTGTCTGCTTTAAGGCTCCCTTGGGTTGATTTTGAGTTGTGGGGTCCAGTCAGGTTGGTATTTAAGATGTCTGACAAACACACTTGTCAGGTTTACAGTGTTTGTGGGGTCCACGTAAAGTCAGATACACTGTTGACATTAATGAGAGATTAAATATCATATGAAAAAAATACATCCTTTGCAGTTGATGTGTTCCTCACTGTGTAATGATCTAAGACCTTAGCTGCCACTCCAGCTGTTTGACTAGGAGACCTAAGTCTCTTCAAGTCCTTTCTATTCTCTATAATCACTTTATGTTTTTAAGAAGACATCAGTTGACAAAAAATAGCAGTAAGTACAAATGGATTTGTTTAGATGAGGTGATTTAGCATGAGCTGCAGTGAGTGGATTCATCAGGTTAATAGACTGTTATGTATATTTGAGGTGCCAGTGGCTTTAAATGTGCAGAAATTAGATCAATAAATAGTTGGTTAATTTACTATTCATCTCAAACTTGTTGTTTAGGACATGGAACCACCTAATGTGGCTGAAACATCTGAGGCTGAGATCTCCAGTACCGCAGAGGAGCCTCCTGAGGGATCTACACTCAGAGAGATAGAGGTATTTATTCCAGCTGATCATCCTGTCTGCTCTTTAGTGTTAAATCTGCAGTTGTAAAAACTCTGCTGATTGGTCAGGTCCTTTTAAATGTATCTGATTTTTTTATTTTGATGCTCAGTTAAGCTGTGTGTCTGCTTTAAGGCTCCCTCGGGTTGATTTTGTGTTAAGGGGTCCAGTCAGGTTGGTATTTAAGACGTCTAACAAACACACTTGTCAGGTTTACAGTGTTTGTGGGGTCCACGTAAAGTCAGATACACTGTTGACATTAATGGGAGATTAAATATCACATGAAAAAAATACATCCTTTGCAGTTGATGTGTTCCTCACTGTGTAATGATCTAAGAACCTACCGGTCACTCCAGCTGTTTGACTGGGAGACTTGAGTCTTTGCCAGTCCTCTCTGTTCACCATGGTCCAGTAAATGTTTAAAAGAAGACACCAGGTGTACAAAAATAGCAGTCAGTACAGAAAATATGTGTCCAGATGAACTCATTTAGCATGCGAGCTACAGTGAGTGTATTCGTCGGGTTTATGAAGGTAATGTATATTTATGTGCCAGTGGCTTTAAAAGTGTAGAATTTAGATCAATTATGAGTTGGTTAATTTACTATTCATCTCAAACTTTTTGTTTAGGACGTGGAACAACCTACTGTGGCTGAAACATCTGAGGCTGAGATCCCCAGGACCGCAGAGGAGCCTCCTGAGGGATCCAAACTCACAGAGATAGAGGTGTTAGTCCACCTGATCATTCTGTCTGATTTTTAGGTTTTAAAGCTGCAGTTTTAAAAACTCTGCTGATTGGTCAGGTCCTTATAATGTATCTGATTTTTTTATTTTGATGGTCAGTTAAGCTGTGTGTCTGCTTTAAGGCTCCCTTGGGTTGATTTTGAGTTGTGGAGTCCAGTCAGGTTGGTATTTAAGATGTCTGACAAACACACTTGTCAGGTTTACAGTGTTTGTGGGGTCCACGTAAAGTCAGATACAATGTTGACATTAATGAGAGATAAAAAAGGTTTTTTTTTCTTATTGTGTGAAATAAACATTATATGCAGTTTATCTGTTCACTATGTGATGATCTTGGAACCCACCGGTCACTCCAGCTGTTTGACAAGGAGACTTAAGTCTCTTCCAGTCCTTTCTATTCTCCATCATTCACTCTGTGGTTTAAAGAAGACATCAGTTGACAAAAAATAGCAGTAAGTACTAGTGGTGCAACGGATCACAAAACTCACGGATTGGATCGTTCCTCGGATCAAGAGTCATGGATCAGATCATTTTTTGGATCAGCAAAAAGCAACAAAAAAAAACAAAAAACAAGACAAACACAAGTTTTGTCTGTTTATTAAACACTTAAATGATTAAATTAAATATATAAAAGTAGTGCACAAGGCATAATATCTTCTTTCTAGCATAATTATTAATGAAAAACAACTTGAAGTGCAATATATAGGCATATCTCCTTCCTTTAAAATGTAACAATGAACCAAAAATGAAGTATGTGAGCGACGGGATGTCTTAACGTGGCTCAAGGACTTTCAGCATGTTTTTAACATGTTTTGCACAACTGAATATGGCCTCATGTCTGTAGCTATAAACACACCGATAGCGTTTGTGATAGCTTTAGCCCTGTCGGATTGCACAAGGAAGAGGCTGCTTAAATGCTGTGGTGAAGTTGTTGGCCAGCTTTCGTTTTATCGCCAGTCAGTAAAACACCCGGGTGATGTCGCTTCAAATGCGTGAACATGCTCGATGTGTTCCCACTGTCATTTCGCTTTCTTATGCCACAGTGCCTACACACCGTCGCAGTTTTGTCCACTGACCTCTTTCCTTCTTCATCATAGTTGACAGGGATGCCAAAATGCTCCCATACAAGGGATGTAAGTGTCGCGGGGCGTTCAAGCTCCTCCTTTCCTCAACTCGCCATGTCTGCCCTCCTCCTTTCTTTGCTTACAATAAGCTGTGTGTGGACGGAGCACAACTTTTTTTTTTTCAGAAATAAATCCGCGGGTCACATTTGTGCCAAACCAATGACGTCAATCCGAACGGATCATGGATCAATGATGATCTGTTGCACCACTAGTAAGTACAAATGGATTTGTTTAGATGAGGTGATTTAGCATGAGCTGCAGTGAGTGGATTCATCAGGTTAATAGACTGTTATGTATATTTGATGTGCTAGAAGCCTTTAATGTACAGAAATTTGATCAATAATAAGTTAGTTTATTTACTATTCATCTCAAACTTGTTGTTTAGGACATGGAACCACCTACTGTGGCTGAAACATCTGAGGCTGAGATCTCCAGTACCGCAGAGGAGCCTCCTGAGGGATCTACACTCACAGAGATAAAGGTATTTATTCCAGCTGACCATCCTGTCTGGTCTTGTGGTGTTAAAGCTGCAGTTTTCCTCACCAATGCATACATTTCAGTAAAAAGGGCTACCATCTGGTCTTAATTAGCTTTGAGTATAGGCCTTTTTTTCGTACCTTGATGAGATGCTTCATTATTTCATTTTGTCTTTATTTTCTCTAGGACTCAGATGCAGCTTGTCCTCTTCCCTCAGTGAAAAAATATGGGCTGAATCTTCCTCTAGTAAACTACACAGATTCTGATGAACCCCAGAGTCCATCCTCAAATCCTGAATCTGAACATTGCCTCTCAGAGCAGGACCATATTTCTGTCCCCAGGCTCAGGAGGACCAAAAGTATACTGGTAAACAACACACACACACACAGTGCAGTGAATGTATTAAAAGTCAATTGCAGACATTTCATTGGTCTTGTGCCTACTGTCTATCATATTTTTATTGCTTTCTTTAGATGAAAAACCAGATTCACTTTGATTCAGAAGAGCTTTATGACACCACCTCAGCTGACAGTGAAGAGGAATACATTCCTAAGACAAGTGAGGACTCTGATGATTCCGGCAGAAGTGAAGTCCTGGAAGTTGAGGACCCTCTCTTCAAGATAAAAGATGTCATCAAAGATTTTCCTCCCTTAACCCAAAGATCTGAAGCCTCTTCACAGCAGGTTGTTACAAGAGGGCGTTCACCTGTTAGGAGAAGTAGCTCTGGTCTGATGCATAAAAGGCAATGCTACAGAAGTGTGGTTCATCATTCAACACTAGTCAGCCATGCTGACTCATCTAACCAGAGTTTTGTAGCAGACGCTGATGCCCTCTCCCAAAACTCAGTGGTGAATTTAGACCAGGACCAGGACGAATGTCTTCCTGACAGTTCCTCTTCCATTCTTACAAATGATAATGAGTCTGGTGGTCCACTTTCCATACCCGCTGTCTGCAAAAAAGAGAATGGGTCAAGACTTTATAACAAGAAGCAGTACTGTTTGTACTGCAAATTGGGTGTTATAAAAATTGCAAGACATTTAGAGCGAGCACATATAGATAAGTCAGAGGTTGCACAGGCTTTTGCCTTCAAAAAGGCTCCAAAGAAAGACGAATGCATCTGGAACTTTTGAGAAACAGGGGCAACTTTTCACACAATGTAGAGGTACTACACTCTGGGGTCGGTAACCTTGTTCCCCGCAAGCAGCCGAGGCAGGATTCCAGTGCACAGGATTTCCTACACTGTGCATATTGTCAAGGCTTTTTTGCCAGAAAGCTGCTTTGGCGGCACATGCAAATTTGCAAGCTTAGGCCTTCTGTACCACACAAACCAGGTAAAACCCGTGTCCAGGCCCTTTGTGCATTTACTACACCTCCTCCACCTGGCGTCAAACAGGACTTGTGGAAACTCTTAAACAACATGCTCCAAGATGAGGTTTTTTCAGCAGTTAAATCTGATGCCTGTATTCTGGAGTACGGGGACCATCTATACAACAGACTGGGACATGATCCTGGAAAACATGAATATATCCGCCAGAAGTTAAGAGAGCTTGGAAGACTTCTGCTGTGCTCCAGAAAAACCACTTCCATGAAGACCATTCGAGACCACATCAGACCATCCAACTTCATGCAAGTTATTCAGGCTGTAAAAGAGGTGGCAGGTTTTGATAGTGCAACCAACACTTACAAGTGTCCAAGTCTGGCCCTCAAAATTGGACATAGCCTGACAAAGGTATCAATGCTTGTAGAAAGTCGTGCAAATGTACAAAACAATTACAGTGCTGCTAAAGATGCACGTACATTTCGCAGAGTGTACGAAACTCGCTGGAATGAAATGGTTTCGGCTGCATCACTGAGGACACTGCAGGAGGCCAGGTGGAACACCCCTCTGCTGCTTCCTTTCACAAAGGATGTCCAAACTCTCCACTCCTATTTGGATGAGAAACAGCAACATTACAGCTCAAAACTGTCCACTGAGACATCCCCGCAAACATGGTCACAGCTGACCAAGGTCACGTTGACTCAAGTCATCCTTTTTAATCGTCGAAGAGCTGGGGAGGTGTCAAAAATGCCCATGACAGCATATTTGTCTAACAGTACATCAGATCCTCAAGATGATGTGATTGATGCCCTGTCACCTGTTGAGAAGAAACTCTGCCAACACTTCAGACGGATCGAGATCAGGGGAAAAAGAGGAAGAAAGGTTCCCGTTCTTCTGACCCCGGCAATGCAGCATGCATTGGATTTACTTACCAGCAAACGGCAGGAATGTGGGGTTCCTAAAGAGAACAGGTATCTTTTTGCTAGACCATCTGCCTTTACATGCCTCCGTGGTTCTGACTGCCTTCGACATTTTGCAAAGATCTGTGGTGCAAAAAGTCCCGAAAGTCTCACCTCCACAAAGCTTCGCAAACAAACAGGAACTCTTTCACAAGTTCTCAACCTCAGCAACACAGAGTTGGACCAGTTGGCTGATTTTCTCGGCCATGACATACGAGTACATAGGCAGTTCTATAGGCTTCCTGAGGGCACCCTCCAGCTTGCTAAAATAAGCAAAGTTCTATTGGCTCTGGAGAAAGGACGCCTGGGAGAATTCAAGGGAAAGACCTTGGATGACATCAACATTGACCCGGAGGGTACTATTTATCTATCTCTCTTGTCTCCTTTTGAAGGAAATGCACTTTTTGTAATTATGTTTTCTGGGAATTTTTCACCATGTCAGAAACAAATGATCTTGAATAACACTCATTCCCCCTCACCCCTATACAGAGAATGTGCACCCTGACAGCGATCCTGACGAGGCATGCGAGTCGGGCTCTGAAGGTTGGTATTTACATACAATTTTATATGTGACCACTGCTGCATATTTGTAGACATCCATGTGCAATATCAGTTTACAGAATCCATTTGGAGCCTGCTTTTGTCTGTCAACAACTGGTCATAAAATGTTTTTGTTAACTTTAAAGCTCATCGGTCTTGATGTTCATTTGCAACATCAGAGAGGTGACTATGTAATGTCTGTAACGGCTTCATTTTAATCCCTGCACCAAGTTTAGTTTGAGCTTTTAGATTGCTGTTATAAGCACTTGCATGTCAAGCACAAGCATGGTGTTAGAGGTGTTGGGGGGCAATAGGGTAGGTTGATTTACCTCTTTTAGGTTAGGATATAACCAGGGTGGTGTATCCACAGATATCATAATCACAAGATGCCACACAACCCCAGGATGCTCCAAGACCACCGCCATCTTGGAGCAGTACTTGTTAATGGTTTTCAGTCAATTGTAGTTTTTGAGGCCTGTGATTCACCTTACAACAGCATTTGTTCACGTTCAAAAAAAAAGGGATCAAGTTAGGTTTGGTGATTTACTTAATTGCAATATCACCTCAAAATGTGCTTAATGGCACAGAAAAACAATACTAAGTATTTATCAACTCCATCAACTGTATTTATGTCACAGGCTTGAAACTACAACACTACTCAGCACTATATCGCTGTGTCAAAGAGCTCGTTAAGAGTTATTGAGTTAATATTTTTTTCAGTTTATGTGAATTGAAATAGTTTATGATCTAATTTCAGATAAGAGTTACAGAGAATAATTTTGCACATGTATTTTACAAGTATTTAGATTTATAGTTTAACCCTTCTTATCAGCATGGAGGATCAATACTGCAGTCAGTCAGCAGAGATCTTGAAATGTTTGTGAGTTGGGGAGAGCACTGTTATGCTACAGTCTGTAGTCATTAGACTTCCAATATGTCTGTGGGGTTTGTTAACCTGTACCTCATAGTGAAGAGCTTCAAATTATGACCAACATGTATAAAGTCAACCTTTATGCTAACATTTTAAAGTTAATGGATGAAAGTAATTATAACTCAGTTTTACACTTGACTTCATAACATCAAGTGACAAGAAGTGCCTTACTTCCTGTGAATTCAGTTTAGAGGTCCTTCAAAAGAAAAGCATTTCCTGTTAACCAGATAATCCCAAATCTTTCAATTTAGCAGGTAAGTTGACAAATACCCCCCTAAATAATGTAAATAATGTATTTTAACATGTCATTAGGAACTTACTAAACTAAATTTTACTAGAAAAAATATTTAAGGAAACAATTTTCATCATCCTGTATACAAATTTTTAATGTATCAACATATATACTTATCCTTTTTAACATGAGAAACTAGATCAAAAAACTTACACATAAAGGGGTTGAATGGCTGGTGTCACGTGTGCTTCACAATCAGTTAGAGCATGACCACAGTCACAATATCCAACTGGTTTTTCACCTATTGCACAAACGAGCTAGTGAGCTGTGGTGGATACAGTCTATATTCTTCTGCTCTGTTGTAGGGAGTAAGTTAACATCTAGTCAGAGGGAAGAGGATGCACCATCTGATGTGAACCATGATGATGCATCACCACAGCAGAGCACCACCGCACCTCAAAACACCAAACAACAGGGGTCACCAAAAACGGAAAGAGGCAAGTTCTCTGAGACCGGTCTGAAATCAGATTAGTTTATGGTGTGGTTGTAAATGTGTTTTCTTGGCATGTGCTGAAATGTGGATTGCAGACACACATTTGTGATTAAGATTTTTTTGGGGAGGGGGAAGTTTCTGAGTTCTCATTCACCTATGTTACTTAAATTGCTTCTAAATCACTCCATGGTTAAAAAACAGAATTGATTATGTTTTTGTTTATTTACAGCTCGGCAGCCTGTTAAAAAGAGGCCTTGGGAAAGAGAGGAGATCCTGGCCGTTGAGAAACACATGATGTCCTTCATCACCACATGCCGTGTTCCAGGGAAACGCGACTGCGATAAGTGCATTGAACAAGAGAAAGAAGCGCTCAAAAACAGGAATTGGTTGGCTATTAAATTCTATATCAAAAACCGAATCACAGCTCTGAAGAGGAAAGTTTAGAGGGATCAGGTGTTGTCTGTTGACAGCTGTAGGAGGGTTGCATCACTTTTACTGTCCTCAAGGTAAAGCATGTTCTCTGGTTTATACCATTAACTTGTTAGTGTTTCCTTAGTGGTCGTATCATATCCATCATTTCTCAATTCAGCAATCTACCTCCTTATTTTAATTTATATTTGGATGCTTAGAGTTACTGTAGGTTGGGCTTCAGAGCTGTGTCATACAGTAACAGATTTGTCTACCTGTAAAGGGAGTTTAATGAAGAGTTTTGACTCGATTTATTTTTGTTATAAGCTGCCAATAACTGCACAGACACACTGTACCAGTTTTAAAAGAGGAGGGTGTTTTCTTTTGTTTTTGAAAGAATGTTAGTTTGTGGTTCCTTAGTTGAACAAATTTTGTTTATCCAGCATCTTCAAAAAAATTTGAATAAAAACTTTCAGCTTTTAAATTCATCCACTGTTTCAGGTCTAATCATGTGAACAGTATAAAAAATCCTTCACATAGATATATCTTTCTTATGTAGCCACATGCATATTAACACATAAGACACAAGACAGCTGTTGACTTCTGTCACTATTCAATTTAATTATTTGTACAATTTACCCTAAAACACAAAACATCATCCTTATCAAAACTATAAAATCAGCCCATCTGTGCTGTGTTAAAAATTAGAGTTCAGACAAGAGAAAGGGGAGAACTTTCTGGCTGAAGAAAACATCAGATGGTGCACTTCTAAGAAAGACACATCCTGTAAACATTGAAGGTATATCAGGTCAGGTTTGAGAGTAGATCTAGAGACTGATGCACTTATAATACCTTGAATATAAGCTGGTGATACTGATAAGAAATGTACTTGTCGAAGATTGTCGAGATTGGTTCTCATCACTGTCCTGCACTGACAAGTGTGGAGTGGTCCCACAAAGTCTGTTTGATCTGATGTTTGTGTAAGTGGTACCCAGGAGGAGAGAAAAACCGGGCAGTGTGTAGATACTGACCCCAGATGTGGCCAAATACCAGACAGGTTCCCAGATGTCTGTGCCTAGTCTGGTCAGGGACCTCTACTTTGTCTAATTGGTAATTTGAAGTGATTTCTCTGTTTACCTACATGTCAGGATACTGCCTGATTTTTCTCAGTGCTGTACAACCTTCAGAAAGGTTGGTTCCCACAATGCATGGTCTGCTCATGTGTCCTGACCATAGCACAAAGACAAGGATGTGTGTGTGTGTGTGTGTGTGTGTGTGTGTGTGTGTGTGTGTGTGTGTGTGTGTAATCATGTGAGCAAGAGAAAGAGGGAATGGTAATTTTTATTATTGTTATTTTTTATTACCGGTACCAGCTCTGAGACTGACGCCTAGTTTCTACTTTCCTATGTGACTGCAGTGTTTCCCACTGACTGACCGTATAATGGTGCTGGTGGGTTGATGAGGGGGTTGTAAGTATCTGCCCAATTACATCTTTTAACAATTTGAATTAATTTAAAATAATCAATAATTAAAAAAAAAAAAGTCTGATAATGTGATAAAGTAGTCATATGGTTGTTGTCTCATAGTTTTAACCTCAGTGACAGTGCATCGATCTGGAAAATATAACAAATGTATGGACTTAAGTATTTTGTTTGATTCTTCACTATTGAAGCCTTTTAGGATTTGTAAAGCTGTAACTGTGCATGTAAATGTGGACTATGTTTAGTTAAAGTATATTAATTCTGTAATATATTGCTGAGTGTACCTAATGTACTTTATGCACTTGTAAGCTTGGCAAATAATCTAAGAGTTTCATCCAATATAAGATCAATTTCTTTAGCACTCTGTAATAAATTGAGGAGTGGCTTTATGAATTTAATATACTGTAAATGAACCTTAAATTTTGGTTAAAAGAGGGTTAGAGCAAAGTTTAATGACTGTTTAGTGTTTGTGTTGGCATTGCACCAGCTAATATTACCATTGAAAATGCAGATTCTGTAAATATTGATGGCAATCGTAAAAGGTGAATATTGCATAAAATAGATTAATAGTCTGGGTGAATTCTTGTCCAAGAGTAGATATTCCTGGGTGGCCCACCCAAGTATCATATCGGAAATACTGGACTGGTGTTCATAGACTCGTGATACAACAGAGACTGCCCCTTAAGTGTAACGCATGGGAGTGCATTTCTTTATGTATGAACGGAACTACACATAGTCATGTGCTAGAGGCTAACTAAGTCTGATGACTGTTAAATCTAACTGTATTTCATATCAAAATACAATCTGACTATACATAATGTGTTAATATTTTAGCTAAGCAAACTTACTAAGATTCACAATGTGTTAAAAATCACTATATGTCAATAAACTGAAGGAAATGGCTAAATAGCTGTTAGCTAAAGTAGCATACCATGTAGGGGCTTGTGTCACTTTAGGTTGCTAATAAATCTATAATTAAATAACATTTTTAATTCATTTATACTTCCCTTTTTTTATTTATTTTTACGACGGAGAATTAGGGCCACATTAAGAAAAAAAAAATTAGGACTTCAAAATAACGCATGAGAATAAAGTCATAATAAAATAATTACTCATGAGAATGAAGTTGGGATAAAATAATTTCTTACAGGAATAAGGTTGTAAAAAAATCATTACTTTTAAGAATAAAGTCATAATAAAATCATTTCTTACGAGAAAAATGTTGTAATAAAACCATTTCTTACCAGAAGAAAATCATAATAAAATTTTATTTACGAGAATAAAGTCATAATAAAATCATCATTTATGAGAATAAAGTCGTAATAAAATCATTATTGAGATTTTCTGACTTCCATTATTCCACCGTAATGGATATTCAGTTTCTCTTACTCTACAACAGGTGCTTGTAACTCTGACAGTGTTTCTATGTATTTAACAGTGACAATGGTGGATATTTCTGTCCTTTTGATGCATGTTTTTGACTAAATTTATACATTTATTTAGTCGTACCAAGTATTGACAGGTACAAGAACAGCTCTTTACTTGTCTTTTGCTTGTCAGATCAAATACATCTATCCTCGTCTGTCCTGTCTGAGTTGACGCAGATACAGACTTACACACACACCTACACACATAAAAAGTAAAACAGATCATCAGAACCATGTGTCATCTCTGACAGCAAAGCGCTCCATGCCATAGATATTACAGACGCACAGTCGACATGGGGAGTTATTGCACTGCTGCCTTTTACCAGCCTGCTCTTTGAAAGTAGATCTACACAAACCTATAGTATTAAATGCGTCAGTGGTTTGAAGTTATACAGTGGGCCAAACACATCAACTTGCCACACTTTTGAAATTCATAAGACTATCTGTTAATGTTTATGTGCTTGTATGTGTTCCTGTGTTCTTGTGTCACTCTCTCTGCTCCTCACTAACCCCACAAATAACAAGCAGGATCCGGGACGCTGATTCATTGAATGACAAGACCGTTGAGAGAGAGAGAGAAAAAAAGTACGATTACAACAGTTCCTTTCTCATTAGCAGTGATGGTATCACTGCAGGCAGCATCAAAGCAGTCGGAGCTTTTGGGACAAAGAGTCAGTCAGTCAGTCATTCAGTTTGGAGCAGGAAAGCTTTAAAGCAGCATTACGATGACATATTAGGGGCTACACGAGATGATTTCAACTGCCTTTTTTCCAGATTGTTATTTTCCCTATTGATAAAAAAGGCGAGCAAACGTAGTCAAGCGTTTCCAAATATCTATGCCACAAAGGCACAAAGGCTTCCCAATTCACCCTAACTTCACTGCAGATCCTCAAGTAAGGCTTCAGTGTTTTTATCAGAGTCTGACATTTCCTATTGAACTGGTACAAATGGCATTTCCCCTGACAACTTGTTAACTTTTAAAGGTTGATGGATTCAATACACAGCCGCCTCAAATAAGCAGTGGATCACTCTGAAAAACAAAGCTTCAAGATTAGCTGCTGTCAACTTGAGGATAAGATGTGAAAGTTTGAGCAGCAAAATGTGAACACTGTTTATATAGTGACAGGGAATGTATTGATTTATGAGCATTTATTGGAAAAAAGGGCCTTAATGTGTGGCTCTTCACTGTAGCTGCTACAGTCTTTGTCCTGTGACAGCAATCTGCAAGCTATTTGATTTTATTCCCCCCGTGATTTTGATATGACTGACGGGAAATAAAGATGAGCAACACATTTTGACTGCCTCACAATGTGCAAAAAGTGAAGTCAAATTACCCCGGCAATAAGCCCAGACATCTTGCTCCGGTGTTGTTTGTGTCAGATCAGCTTAACACAAAGAGGGATGATACTTTGAAAAATGGAGGAACTGGTAAAGGAAACATCGTAGAGGTTTGTTAAAACTATAAAGAAATACATGATAAAATGTTGACTGAGGACTGACAACTACAAAAAGACATGTAACTTAAGATCAAATGAGGACGGCAGTAAAGGAGAAGAGGAGGACCACCTAAGACCTGTTTTTAAGAGCCTCCTCCATCTGCTACCTTGTCTGACATCCATCTCAATGTAAAGGCCATGTTGGAGTGTGTGGGTATATGCGTTAGCTGCTCAAACGTTTTGGCATTTTTATGTACTGATTGACTACAAAAGTGAGAGGGCCACATGTAAGATCACTTGTGGTTCATGGACCACACAGAATATTTAAACTTGTCAAATGCTTGTACTAATATATCAGATTTCTAGACTTGCCAACTACTCAAAGCACTTTTATACCACTTGCCTGTTGACCCTTTCACACCACATTTATCTTCAAGATCAGTGATAATATCCTTAATGCACATTCAAAGATTTTGTTACCAGGGAGGGTTATACTTTAAGTGTCGTTGAAGAGTGTGGAGAGATCTTGTGCCACAAGATTTTACGGATACAACAGCTTGAGAAGATTTCTTGTTGAGGTGATTCACCATTTTCCAATGCTAGCACTTGGTAGACTATTACAACTCAACATTTTATTCTTTAATTTCCTCCATAGATAGAGGTGATACCCTAATTTTACCATGGTGTGAAAT